AGCTAAAACATGGAAAGAGCCTAAGTGTCCATCAACAGATGAATGGATCAAGAAGATGTGGTTTATCTATACCATGGAATACTACATGGCAATGAGAAAGAATGAAATCTGGCCATGTGTAGCCACATGGATGGACCTTGAGGGTGTTATGCTGAGCGAAATAAGTCAGACAGAGAAGGACAAATATCATATGTTTGCACGTCTAGGAGGATTAGGAGGAACTTGACGGAGGACCAAGGGGGAGAAGAAGGGCGGAAATGGTGGGGGAAAGGGAGAGAGGCAAACCATGAGAGACTCTTGAATGCTGACCAAAACTGAGGACTGATGGATGTGGGGGGGAGGAGGGATGGGCATGGAGGAGGACACTTGTGGGGATGAGCACTGAGTGTTATGTGGAAACTAATTTGACAATAAACTATTTGTAAAAAAAAAAAAAAAAAAAAGCCTATTTGTTTTGTTTGCTTATCTCAGCATGCTAAGAATTAAAACCTGGGCAGTGACCCCGTAATGACTGGGTGTTGGTCATTAATCCTCACTTTGGACTCCAGCTTCGACTTTACAACATGGGATTGCTGCATGAGTTTCTCTGAGGAAGAAAAGTTAAGACACAGCCAGAGATGGCTGTTCCCACTAGCTTGCAAAATTGGGAGAAAGGGGTTTGTTTTGGTTTCTGGATTTTTTATTTTTGGGGCAGGGGGATGTCAGAGGGTATAGCTGTTGTTTTTAAGCAAAGAAGGAGGTTTATTAGCTCATACATCTGAAAGAATAAGTATGAATCTAGGGACTTTCAGACCATCAGCAATTGCCCATATTTCACTCTGTGTGGGTTTCAGGTTCTTCCAAGTTTCTGTAATCAGCTCATCCTCACCTCAGGTGGGCCCTGGGGCTGGTGATGCTTGCAGCCACAGTGGAACCACAGGGAGGAGGCAAAGAAGGTTCCTTAAAGGAGTGGGCTGGTATTGCAAGGAGGAGAGGGGAGACATGCTGGGCAGAGACACCCGCAAAGGTTTACTATCTCCCCAGGTTACAGATAGGGAAAGTGAGGCTTAGCAAGTCTGTTACCTCATACACCAATCTCCCACTATGTTGTGCTACCAGCAGGAATCACCTTCCAGCTTTAGGGATGGGGAAAAACTAGACCCAAAGAGGGGAGGCAAATTCATTTAAGATCACAAGCTAATGAGTGGCTGAACTGCAGCCCAGACGATGGATCCATGGTCTTTTAAATAGATTGGCAGTAGCCTAGGTTTCAGTTTGCAAGATTGAGGAGAAGTAGGAGATAGTCTTTCCTGATAGCTTAAGGAATGGCAGATTTGGACATGGTGTTCCCATGCCTTGCCCTCAGCAGCCATTACAATGCTGAGTCAGTAATTTATACTTTCTGGTTTTTGTTTTTTTCCCATGGCCTTTTCCATCCAGTATCTATTGGACCCTCCCTGAAACCTTGCAAAGATAAGGCTTCTTTCGAAT